GTGAAAGTGCTCCTGCGAAATGGCAAAAGAACCCTTGAAACATATGCAGTACTTGACGATGGCTCCCAGCGTACCATTCTTCTGACATCAGCTGCAGAGCATCTCAACCTAACTGGGGAAGCAGAGATTATCACTTAGAACGGTCCGTCAAGAAGTTGAAACTATTCATGGTTCTTCCGTAAGTTTCAAAATCTCACCCATCGCACACCCAGAGAAAACCTACACAATTACTAATGCCTTCACTGCAAATCACCTAGCACTTTCAGGTTCAGCTTCAGCCCTGAACCTTCCTCCCTTCAAAACATCCACTCTTTCAAGAAACGTGTAGTCTGTTTCAGTTTCATCCTTTTGAAAAGCTCCTTTCTTTATCACCAAGATTCATTAAAACAGGTAGGAACCACATAGGGATTTCATTGTGTTTGTGATAACCACTAGAACCTAAAATATTGAAAGAAAAAACTATTTAAAAACTATTTTGGGTGCAATCTACTTGGTTATATTTTCATTTGACTTTTGACAGCATTTTTAAGATTTACTTTTTGTCTTTCGGTTCACTGTTAATTCTTCTTTACTTATATGAAATGAAATGTCTTTTGCCATTTATTTGGGCAGTTATTTTAACTTTAATTTCAGTGGTTACTGGGACACAAAAGAGCATTTATATTGAACAATCAACAGTCAAAGTAAATAAAGTGAATGCTGTAATTTAAATAAAGCACTTTTCTGAATTTAATAAGACCTGAGATTAAAAAACAAATACCTGTAGTACAGCAAAGGGAAGCATTACTCCTCTTTATCAGATTTGACTGGAGTGTCCACACATGGGTATGAGAAATGTTGGTCACTAGTGTGCTGCAATATGAGTTTTTATCTCATAACCACAGGATGCATATCTCTGAAGACGTAAATAAGATTGAGGGGAGCTTTTTCTTAGGTTGCAGTAACGCATTATTGTCGCCAGGGGGAGAAAAACTACGTTTGTTTTGTGTTTTTTTTACTTTCCATTTACTTTCTAAAAAGTACTTTAACTTTGCTTAACCTCGTTTAAAGTTAGTTTTATTGGTATCAAACGCTTTATGGTGATTATCCAACAATATAACCACGTTGTGGGTGTTAGTTACAGAGGCATGTCCGGGTTCCGGTGGGGACTCCCACCCTGCTTTCATTTCATCGTTTTTTTCCGCCCTGCGCTGTTCGGTGTTTATGCTAGCTTAACCGTTTAGGCTAGCTCGTCTGAACTACTGTGCGTTTAGTTTTTGACTTTGAGTTTATCTGGCATGTTTCTCGGTACTTCCAGCCTGGAGTTTTCGTTGTTTATGACCGTTTAAGTGACGAAGATGTGGCCTTCAGAGACGCTAATCGTGCGGCTCGGCTGTTTGTGTGTCCTAGCTGCCGTGTCTCCTTCAGTACATGCGAGTAAGTCTGCTGTCCTCTTGAAGGATCCTTAAAGCAGCTCGTTTTGTAGCACATAGTGAAAATTGTGTTTTTTGCGGAGTGGGTGGGTGTTTTTATGAAAGCTGAATCGTAGTTTAGTGATTTTCCCTGTTTGTGACCCCACCCAGTGCAAACCGGCGTTCACGTAGTGTTTTCAGCCAGTTTCTTACAGTCAACAAAAGCTAGCACACCAGGACTGAGTCCTTATGGACTCCAGAATAGAGGAGGTGAACTGGAAGCTACAGCTGTAACAGCATGTGTCAAACAACAGGTGATAAATAAGTCAGGATTAGTTAGCATACAATGAGACAGACAGCGGCGTGACACAGCAGCACGATGCATGTTTGAAATGCCAAAGCACTTTTACAGAAACGTGTTGTATGTGTGCAGTTTAGCTTTATTCAGAATGAAACTTTCACACTACTTTAAAGAATGAGTCACTTTTTCCTAAAGAACAGTTTGATCTTCATTATTGAATATGTGACCAGTCACTAATAGAAACTTTAAAGTTTCTAATCTGATCATTTATCTGGGCAGATACTACAGTCTATGGAAAAGTGGGAGGAGAAGCTGTCCTAAAACCACCTGCCAACCCTGAGTCTGGCCCCATCACACAAATCTCATGGAAAGAAGGTTCTAACAAAGCCATGGAGTGGGAGACAGGAGATACGAATGCAACAGGCTATCGTCAGTTTCGTGGTAAGCTGTGTTAGTGGTGCAGTGGTCCCATCTTTGATTATCAGTGATGAGTTAAAGGTAACAGTATCATATACGTTTGAAGATCGCGGCCACCTGGACACTTCCACTGGTGTGATGACGATCAGCGGTCTGTTACATAATGACAGCAACAGCTACACACCCGAGATCAACCACAGGCGACTCACTCCAGTTAGCCTCGTCGTCCTCTGTAAGTGAATAAATCAAACTGTGTTCAGCTTATCAAGTAAAACTGAAAGTGTTTAGTATGTTACATCAAAACTAATGAAAGTGAATCACATGATGAATTTTCCTGTTTCCTTTTCTAACAACAGCTCCCGTCCCTGTACCCAGTGTTAACAAATCCTGTGATGAGAGCAAATGTGAGTTGATCTGTGAAGGAACCACAGCCAGAGCCACTCCAGTCAGCTACACGTGGATGTCAGATGATACTGGGAAGCATGTTTCATCTGGGAAACAATATACTGTTCATAAGGTATTTTAAGTAGACTTTAGAAGGTGTGACGACTTCTTCTCTGTGGTTTCAATTATATTAACAATTTCACTGCATTTCCAGGTGAACAGTTCAATCAGTTATGAGTTGAGCTGTGAGATACAAAACCCAATCAGCCGGGAGAGAAGTGAACCGATCACCATCTCTTCAGACTCATTCTCTGTGATATCTCGTGAGTTATTTCTGTAAAACACTCCTTTCAAACGTATTAATGCTACAGGTCATCAACTTTGAAAAGCCACTTACGGCTGCTGTCATTATTTTACAGCACCTGGAGGAGGTCCAAACTTTTACACGGGACTTACAGTGCTCATCGTGCTGCTGGTTGTCGTCACACTGCCGGTTGTCTTTCATAAATGGAAAACAGGTGACAAAATAAATGCAGTCTTTTATCAGCATATTGATATTCAGTATTGTGATCCCCCTGTCCCCCAAACTCATAGGCTCAGATGTAGGGGTGGGTATCGTTTACGTTTTATCCCATACCAGTACCAAACCGGTACTTTTGAAACGGTGCCAGTGCTTAAAGAATGGAGAACACAAAATTGGTCCTAAACCTCTCATGTTTAGCTGTTTTCCACTTTTTCTTTGGTCATTTTAGCCTTTTTGTCCAGGGTGAAGGGAGCATCTGCCATCAAACAAGAAGACAGCCGCATGTAGCTATGATGATGTTTGCTAGTTCACCTTACATGCATTAATGTAATAACGTG